AAATAATACAATATGTGTCTGGTTTCTTTCACTTAACATTTTCAAGGTTCATCCATATTGTATTGGTGTTCAAGTCCTTTTTATGAATGAATAATTTTCTGTTGTATGCATGCACCATATTTTGTTTATCCATTCATTCATTGCTTAATAGACATCTGTGTTCTTTCCACCTTTTGGCTATTATGAAAAATGCTGCCATGAACATTTGTTTGTAATTTTTTTTGAACATGTTTATATTTCTTTTGAATATATACCTGGGAATGGGCTTGCTGGATTTTTGATATGCTTTAAACTTTCTTGAGGAACTGTTTTCCATAATGATGGCACTATTTTATATTCTTAACATTAATAAATGTGGTTTCCAAATTTCTTTACATCCTCACCAATACTTGTTATTTTCCATTTTTAAATTCTGATCATCTTAGTTATCGTGAAGATATACCTCTTGTGATTTTAATTTGCATTTCCCTAATGGCTAATAATGTTGAACATCATTTTATGTACTTAGTGGACATTTGCATATCTTTTGGAGAAATGTTTATTCAAACCCTTTACTCCTTTTTTATTTATTTTTTGTGCATTTTATTTTTTTAATATTTTATTTTATGTAATTCTTACATCATTTTTCATTTTTACACAAAGTATGCAATTTTATCTTGGTTATATTTCCCGTACAATTGCACCCCCCCTTATTTTGACCCTAATCCTTCTTATCTTCCCCATCGTGTGTTTCTGGTTTATAGTTGCTTGTTGATTTTGATTTTTACTTTGTATTAATTAGTCTTTTCCCTGGTCCGTTATTTAGGTTTTCTAAATTCCTGCTATGAGTGAGACCATCCGGTATTTTTCTTTTTCTTTCGGACTTATTTCGCTGAGCATGATCCCTTCTAGCTCTATCCATGTTGCTGCAAACTGCATGTGTTTATCTTTTTTGATTGCTGACCTTTATTCACTTTTTAAATTGAGTTTGTATTTTTTGTTTTAATAGTTATATATTCTGCATATTAGACTTTTATTAACTACATGACTTGTAAATATTTTTACCAATTCTCTAAGATGGCATTTTCACTTCGATGCTCAAATTTTTAAATTTTATGAAGTCCAGTTATCCAGTATTTTCTTTGTTGCTCGTGCTTATGGCATTATATAGAATATGGCATTATATATATAAAAATATATATATGTTGCCAAGTCTGAGGTCATAATGATTTTCCCCCATGTTTTTTTTTATAAGAATTTTGTGGTTTTACAAAGAATTAGACCACATGGGATTAATAGACATTTATAGGACACTGCACCCCTCCTAAAAAGCTGAATACACATTCTTCTCAAATGCACATGGTACATTCTCCAGGATTGACCATATATTGTGTCACGGGACAAGTGTCAACAAATTTGTCAAGAGTGAAGTCATACCAAACATCTCTGATCACAGTAGTATCAAACTAGAACTCACCACTTAAAGAAAGCAGGACAAACCTCTAACATGTGGAGACTGAACATCATACTACTGAATGACAGTTGGTCTAATGAAGAAGTCAAAGAAGAAACTGAAAAATACTTTGAGACGAATGATAATGAGGACACAACACAATCTTCCAGGATTTATAGAATACAGCAAAAACAGTACTAAGGGAAATACATAGCAGTACAGGCCTATAGCAAGAAACAAGAAATAGCACAAATAAATATTTTTTTGTCTCTCGCCTTAAAGAAATAGAAAAGGGGGACTTCCTGGTGGTGCAGGGGTTAAAGACAGCGCTATCAAGCTATTGCCAGTCACTGCAGCACGAGTTCTATCCCCAGCCAGCCAGGGAGCAACCCACATGGTGCAGCAGACCTCTCCTGTCTCACCCGCTTCTCCCCTCAGCAGTGTATTTCAGTAGATCTGCCTGTTGTGTTCCCCACTCTGTCTCTGGTGAATCTTTTCACTCCTGGAACCTCTGGCCTGTACCCCAGTTCTTGTATGCATAAATAAATATATCTTAAAAAAATAGAAAAGGAAGAATAAATAAAACCAAAGTGAGTAGAAGTGAGGAAATAATAAAAATTAGAGCAGAAATAAATGAAGTAGAAATCAAAAAGTCATTCCAAAAGACTAATGAAATCAAAAGCTGGGTTTTTTTTTTTTTTGGGGGGGGGAATTAAACAAAATAGACAAAATTCTGACTAGGCTCACAAGGAAAAGAAAAGTGAAAATTCGAATAAATGGGATCATAAATGAAAGAGAAGTTACAACAAACGTTTCAGAAATTTGGAGGATTATAAGAGATTACTAGGAATATATGTATGCCAATAAATTGAATAATTAAAAAAGTTGGACAAATTGTTAGAAAAATTTAATCATCTGAGACTGAATAGGTAAGAAATAGAAAACCTGAACAGATAATTATAACCAAGGAAATTGAAACAGTAATAAAAAATCTCCCAAAAACAAAAGTCCAGTACCAAACAGTTTCATAAGGTCGTTCTACTAAGCTTTCAAAGCTGAACTAATAGCTTACCTTCTCAATCACTTCCAAAAAAAAGAAAAGAAAACTATAAACCACTCTTCCTAATAAACACAGTTACAAAAATCCTTAACAAAACCTTAGCAAACTGAATTCAACAATACATTAAAACGGTCATATGCCATTACCAAGTAGGATTTATTCCTGGGCCACAAGTGTGGTTCAACATCCAAAAATCAGCATATTTCACATCAATAAAAGGAATGATAAAGATCATATAATCCTATTACTAGATGGCAAGAAAGCATATGATAAGATTCAACATCCATTTATGATGAAAACCCTTGAAAAACTGGGAATAGATGGAACATTCCTCAATATAGTGAAGGCCATGTGTGACAAACCCACAGCTACATCATTGTCAATGGTGAAAAACTATTTCCGTTAAGATCTGATAAGAGACAAAGATGCACACTTTCACCACTGTAGGTGCAATCCTATACCTCTAAATCATATAGTATAAAATAATGTGAGGTACCGTTATCTCAATAAAAAAGGAGACCAAAAAAAAAAGTGTACAAATGCTCATAGTAGTTTCATTTGTAAGAACTAAAACTAGAAACAACTCAAGTTTCCATCAACAGGAAAACTGAAAAACCAGTTGTGGTATATCAACACAGTGGAACAATTATTTAACAATAAAACAACTGAACTGTTGATCCATGCACCACATTGATGAATGATAAAATAATTATGCCGGAGTTTAGAGACTATGCTTCCCTGCTAACTCTGCCCTTGGCCCAGACATTTCAAAATTTCAAGACTATATCCTTCATCAATTTGTGGTTTTAGATAAGGTGTCTTCATTGCAGAAGTTCCACCTGTGCTTTATATTTTGAGAAAAAAAAAATTCCAGGATCAAGGACAGCAGTAATCATTGGAGTCTGCCAAGATTTAGACTATGTAAAGTTGCTGGGTGTCTGTGGTAATGTACTCTGACTTCTCCCAGATGAACATCCTTCTACCTTGACAAGAAGAATAGAATCCTAGGAATTTGAAGTCTTTTTTGAATACAGAGACGTGTTTGCTTTATGAAATCAAGTGAGGCATGAGTTGTAATATCTGATGAAACTCAGAAAAACACCATCAATTATGTTGAAGTCAATTTTATAGAAAATTTTACTTCAGAAAGAGGCCTACCCATTATCTTATTCTTATTCTCTATTGGGAATGCGCCAAAGTAATCACAGAATAACCAATGTGAAATACTGTAATTCTTATAGTATAACTTGTTTAATACATAATCTACAGAACCAGAAAGAACTCAGGGACCTTACTAATAGTGGTATAACAATCTAAATCATGAGACTCTCAGAATATGGCCACTGTTGGAGAAACTTTGTCAGTTATCCACCTGGGAAAGAAGCTCATTGACCAAGATACTCCCCTCTATGGGTAATGCTAGGTGTACTGTAATGCCTCTGCATTGTTCTAAGTTTTACAAAGGGTTAAAGATTTTAGGATATCAGAATCAGCTTACACCATTTAGAGTTATTTTTCAAATTTGCCATAGACAAGTAATTCTGTCTCATCCTTTTGGCTACTGTAAAACTTCCTGTAACTTGACATGAATAGTGATTTCTTGTGTACTGTTTGGAGAACACCAATGATGGCCACCTAAGGAGTAAGCACCATTAAGAATGTAGGCATTTTCAGTTTGCATTTCTATATACTAACAATGGATTACCTAAAAAGAAATAAAACAATTCCATTAACAGCAGTATCAGAAACAACAAAATACTCAAGAATAAATTTAATCAAGAAAGTAAAAGGCGGGCCTCCCCGGTGGCGCAGCGGTTGAGCACCAGGTTGCGAAGCTGCCCGCAGCGTCTGCACCGCCGGTTCGATCCCCGGCTGCTCCCTGGCCACCGGAGGAGGGTCCCACATGGTGCGCAGACCTCTCCTGCCACCCGCTGCTCCCCTCAGCAGTGTACTTAAGTCCTTCTGCCTGCTCTGCTCCCTGCTCTGGCTCTGGTGAATTCTCTCACCCTCCCGCGCTTCTGACTGTACTCAGTGCTTGTATAAATAAATAAAAATAAATCTTTAAAAAAAAAAGAAAGTAAAAGGCATGTACTCTGTAACTAATGCTTCCTTCCTTCTAAGTCCTTTCCTCCACCTCTCCTTCTCTTCTGACAAATACTGCATGACCTCACTTATATGTGGAATCTGAAAAAGCTGAACTCATAGAAAAAGCAGATTGGTGGTTGTCAGTAGTATATATATGTCAAGATTTACCAGTTTATGTACTTTCAATATGTGTGGTTTATATGTAAGTTGTACCCAATAAAAAGGAAAAAGACAGCAAACTCTGGAGAATTCTTCCCTAGCATCATTTTTATATTCTGCTTCTGCCAAGTTAAAAAAAAAAAAGGCAAACCAAACAAACAAATCTACAGTAATACAACATAATAATTACAATCCTGGAATATAGTGATCTGTATGCACTTGAAAAACAATGTGTATGAGTTTAAGCTTTTAATTTGTTTTCAGGCAACTACTCTAAGAGTGAGGAAATTAGAAGAAAATATTGAAGCAGAAAGAACAGCCCATTTGGAATCAAAATTTAATTCTGAAATTATTCAGGTAAAATGTCAACACATTTTTTTTTTGGTATGGATTTTCATAAGTTGTATTATAGCAAGTAGGAAAAACAGCATGTTCAGAGAACTGAGATTTGCATTTGAAATGGGAGCATTGGTAGAATACTCAATATTATACTTACTGTAAGGCTGTGGTTGAGGAGGGCTTTGACTACAGTAGAGTAGACACAGGATAGCCCCAGGCCAATTCGGTCTGTGCTTGTGAAGTTTTTTCTTTTCTGTAGTTGCTTCTTTGTTACAGAGGCAGGGTGGATATTTGCCACAGGCTTGCATCTTATCGCTTGCATAGTCCAAAATACTTATGATCTGACCTATTACAGAACGATCTTTTATCAACTGCCATGGGATGAATTTGCCTTTGAAATGGTTTAGAATTTGCTCATTTTTTGAAAATTGGAATTTAATAATTATGGTTATTATTATTTGTATAGATTAATTTGTAAAGCATTTTTCTACCCCTCCCTTTTTTGAAACTTTTAATTTTTACCTTAGTATTCTGAAAAAGTGAAATACCCCCGTAGTTCAAAAATCAAAACAATGTTAAATTGGGGCCTCCCTGGTGGTGCAGGCCTTAAAGTCTCAGTGCTATCAAGCTATCGCCAGCCACTGCAGCATATCAATCCCTGGCCAGGGAGCTAACCCACATGGCGCAGCAGACCTATCTTGTCTTGCCTGCTGCTTCACTCAGCAGTGTATTTCAGTAGATCTGCCTGTTCTGCTCCCTTCTCTGTCTCTGGTGAGTCCTCTCAACCCCCCCACCCAACACACCCCACACCTCTAACCTAGACCCCAGTTCTTGTATGCATAAAATAAATCTTTAAAACCAAACCAAACCAAAAACAATTACTAAATCATTGAGAACTCTTTCTTTCACTCCTGTCCCTCTCATAACTCTACTTTCTTGGCTGCAACTAATTTTTTGTTTGTGCACTCTAAATATAGCATACCATATACAGAGATCTCAACTTCATTCTTTTCAGTATATATTAACACTACACAGAAAACCACATGGAGAACTTCCTTCTCAAAAGTTGTTATGTCGTCTTTTTTAAGCTATATATCATTCTTTAATGAGAATGGCCTTTGTTTATTCTATTATTCATGTATATAGAGAATCTAGTTTTTAAAAACGTCTTTTTATGTAAAATTTCAAGTATATACAACAGTAAAATAAACCCCCCATCTCCCTATAACTCAGCTTAAAGTCTTACCTCAGACCAGTCATGCTTAATCCAGTACCCTCTTTCACATTTTGCCTGCAGATTATTATTTTTATCAATTTGTAGAGTTAAGAAAAATATTTTATTATTGGTTGAAACATATTCTAGCTATCTTAATACTTGTATCAATTATCAACCTATGTATCAATATAATATATTTCAATTATCAGTTACTATAAATATGTTCAATAGTTTTATTTTATAATAAAAACTTCACTTTGCTACAGTTTTCTCCAAGAAGAAAATGATCAGTTCACATTTTCAGCTCATAGAGATGTTCAAGTAGTGGTAATTTCTATAGGAGAGGAAGGACAGTTTCATTTTCAAAAACCAGTCAGTTTATTGTATTTTATAAAATAAATGTACAAATAGTAGGTCAAAATGAAGCATGTTGATGGGATGAATTATGTGATATCAGACTATGCATTTTTTTAATAGATAAGTCAGTTCTTTATTCTTCCACTTTTACTCCATTCTATTAAACATGTTGAGAAAAGAATAAATTGTCTCTTATTTATTTTCCTTTTTAAGCCAAAGCAGACAGAAAAAAAATGTTTGGGTGAATGATAATATACTGTTGATAAAGTATTCTAATCAATATGAGATCAATGCTATCATTTCTTGCCTCCTTTAATTACTTCTTTGTCATCTGGTAGTTACGGATTCGAGACCTAGAAGGAGCATTGCAGGTGGAAAAGGCCAGCCAAGCAGAAGCTGTTTCTGATTTGGAAATGATAAAGAATGAATTCAAAGAAGTTGAAAGTGCGTATGAACGAGAAAAGCATAATGCACAAGAGAGCTTTGCAAAACTAAATTTGTAAGTGTTTTACTTAAATTTAATTTACTTTAAATTTTCTAAATTAATATGAAGCTTGTGAAACCTATGTAAGTGTGAAGTGTAGTGTTTTATTATTATTTTTTCCAATTATGTTTATTGAGTTAAAGTTGGTTTGTATCATTGTATTTGTTTTAAGGGTTATAGGTTCAAACCACTACATATGAATGTTTTACACCATGCCCACCACCGAAACCCCAATAATCCTCTACTATGTTCCATTAGATCCCCTCTCTCCCCCACTCCCACCATTCTGGTTGGCTCAGTTTTGAGGTCAGATGTCAAGAATTTATTCTGGTTAGGTTTTGTTTAATCCATTATTTTGTTTCTCTGTTTTTCACATGTAAGTGATACCATCTAGTTTTCATCTCTCTCCTGACTTATTTCACTTTCTCCTCTTTTGTTCCATCCATGTTGTCTCAAATAGCAAGAGTTAATTTTTTTTTTTGCAGCTGAATAGTATTCTTTTGTGTGTGTGTGTATATACACATGTGTATATACAAGTATGTATATGTTTATGTATATACACCACATTTTTCTGATCTAATCCTCTGTTCTTGGGTACTTAGGTTATTTCTATAATTTGGCTATTGAAAATAGTTATGCAACGAACATAGGAATGCATATATCCCTTTGAATTAGTGTTTTTGTATTATCTGGGTAGATATCTAGGAGTGGAATTGCTCAATCATGTGGTTAATGTATTTTTTAATATTTTGAGAAATCTCCATAATGTTTTCCATAGGGGCTGGATCAGGTGTAGTATTTTAAATATAACTCCGTTAATCTTAGTGATAGATTGTGGGTAAGGGGCTTACTGAAATATATAACATTAAAACATGTATTTCTCTCTATAGGTAAATATGGAAATGCTTTTTTGCCTTTTAAAGTGTTGTGACTATTTTTCGTAGTCTCAGAAATGCATTTGTAGAAAGTAAATATATTAATATATTTTAGATTATATTTGTTGGTATAAAACGGTATCAGGGTCATTAAAGACCCTGATTTCTATAATGGGTTGAGATTGTTTTCAAACTGGAGAAATAATAGTAGAAGTAATACTGTTACTACTGACTGGCATGCTGTCTGGCTCATTTTATGCACATCATTTCATGGGTTTTTGAAATTAATGTGACACCTTATGAGACAGCTACTCTTTTTCTCCCTGTTTTACAAACATAAAAATTGAGGTTTAATTAGGATGAGAGTGCTCAACTAGTAAGTAATTTATGATTCTTTAATATATATTTTGCCAAAAAGAATTAATAGTGGAGGTTTTAAACCATTTTCCCCCAGAGGGTGAAATGCATGCTGTTGTAGATATGCAACACAATAAGTTGGTACTGTAGAGTTATGTATTTATTTTTATGGTTAGTTTCCATTTACGACAAATAGATAATTTTTCCATTTACAATGGTAATATAAAGATTTCTTTTAAATTCTTTTAACTTAAGAAATGAGTTAAAGATATGTATTATTTAAATAGTAGCAACTATATGTATGACAAAAATAAAAATGGTACTTGAAAAAGACTGAAATCTGAAAAAATATAAAACCCTTTGTGATTACCTTTATTAGTAATGCTTGTAATATTTCAAAACTGGTAATTCTTAACAACCTTGATAAAGCATAACCCAAAAGGTGGGTTTTAAAGGACTTTGTCACAAGTCCAAGATGTACTGTGCATCTTAATTTTTTTTAATTCTCCTCTAGGATGACTTAAATGACATTCTGTGAACGTTAATCTAAATACTTACCTTCTTTTATTTCCTTTGGACCTTTGCTTGAACCTGCACATTTATGTATAAATATGTTGGAAAGCATTTATGTAGAATATAGTGCAGACTTCTTTACTGTTGCTGTGAGGTATGGATAGGACCTACAAGTGAAACTCCAAGAAATCAGAGTGCACTCCCAACAACTCAAGTTTTCCAGCAGTGAAATAATAGGTTTCTTTGGAAAACTAGTAAGTTCCCTCTCTTGGGGAGCTCAAAACAGAGAGTAGATGATTCTCAATTGTGGATATTGAAGAAGAGAGTCCTTCAAAGATTAGGCTAGATGAATTTTAAGATACCTGCTAACAATTAAGTTCTCAGATTTTAATTTAAGAACTTTTGTAATTGGACCTTGAAGCAAAATTTTCCCTTAAGTTTGTTTTGTTATTATTTGTGATTTTGTGCTTGAAAATTTTATATTCAAATTTTGTTTTCCTGTAAACACCAACTAACAATTCTAAATATTAATAAGCACTTATTCTAAATACAACTAAGCATCTGCTAATACTACGAAATGCTTTACCATAATGTCCTGTATCTGTTCTTCACCCCTCTATCTCTATGCCATGTTGATGATAATTAATAAGCAATAAACAAAAATGAGTAATAATTAAAGGACAGTATCCATTTTGACATCCCTTTCCTTATTACATGTCCATTCCCTTTATACCCTCTATTATGACAGCCTCCTCCATTCTAATTATCTATGGTATTAGAAGGAATGGCATGACATGAGGGATGATTGGATTAAGTCATTTCTTTTCTATTTTTAATTCTGAGTCTTCCTCAGAAACTTCTTTAAAATTTTTTAGAGTCACAAACTCTTAAGTATTAATGTTGCAAAGTATTTCTAAATTTTGGATAATGTTTTCCAAAAGAAGACTTGTTACATTTTAAATCTTCAAATTAAATCATACCTTTATTTTGCAACTTTGAGAATAGTGAGTTTTGGGGTGGGACATTATTATACCTGTTATTAAACCATATAGAATGGTTTACCAATTGGTGATAATGAGAACATGCTACCTGAACATCACTGGTGTTTAAGTTCTTAAGCTTCTGTTTTCTCCCAGGTAGATACAGGCAGGATCTCACTAAAAGACAGTAGGAAAAAACTGTATATTTCTGAGTTACAATTTTGGTTAGTAGTTTCATTAACAATGAACATTCCTACATTGCATTATTTTAGATGGTATACATACATACATATATAGATATAGATATATATCTATCAGTAGGTGGAGTACACACACACACATTTTGAAGACCTTAGCTAAGATTTGGTAACAATAAGCCTATTTTAACAAGTATATATTCGGTAATATAATTATATAAATATATAATTTTAGAATATTCTATATTTCTGTAATCCAATTTTCTTAGTTATATTTTTTCCACCTACAACTTATAGTATGAACTAAAGCTTTTCAATCATCTCTTTAGTTTAGAGTTTTCAATGTATCAAATCCTCATTAGCTGTAGTAACTGATAATGACGGCAATGGTAGGAAGCAGGAAATCATGGTAATCTGCAAATCTAGTTTAAATTTAATTTAGGACAACACTAGTCTAAGATATAATGTTGAATGGACTTAATATAAATTTGTTTCATTTCACTCAGTATATAGGAATTAATTTTTCTAAATATATTACCCCAAAGTATATAAAAAAGTAGCACTGTTAGTGTTTACAACCTTGATAAAGCATAACCCCAAAGGTGGGTTTTAAAGGGTTTTGTCACAAGTCCATGATACATCTGCCACTTAAGTGTGTAATAGGAGTCAGTAAAAGAATATTTGAAAAATCTGCTCTAATACTTTAACTTTTCAGATTAGAAAGAGAGTATTTCTCCAAAAACAAGAAACTAAATGAAGAGATTGAGGAACAGAAGAAAGTAATTATAGACCTATCAAAGAGACTCCAGTATAATGAAAAAAGTTGCAGTGAATTACAAGAAGAACTTGTAATGGTAAGGATAAAAAAAGAATTCCCTATGGCAATTACTTTATTGGGTGAAATTTGATATTTAACAGATTTCCCCCCTATATACAATGGATAGTATGGGAGTATTTTTAGTGACATTGATATAAAATTTCAAAACTGCAGATGCTGATTATAACAAAGATGTACATAATAGAACCTCTTTTCCTTGTGATAATTGGGAAAATTAGCTGTACTAGTGAAAATTCTGAATTGTAGACTTTTAGGAATGTATATTCAGGGGTTTTCTTCTTTTATGGAGGTAATATTGGTTTACATTGTTTTTTATATTTCCAGCTTCTTGACATGTAGTTGAAGGCCTTTTTGTGACTCCATGTTAGTTTTTCCAGCTTCCTTTTTTTCATTTTTTAAATTTTATATATTTTTTATATAATTTTTCATTTTTGTACAATATATGCATTTTCATCTTGGTTATAGTCCCCATACAATTCCCAGCACCCTTGTTTTATCCTACTCCCTCCTTCCCCTGCTGAAGTGTGCCCTCCATCTGTGCTGCTTCAGCCATATTAGAGTACTTTTGCTTCCTAAATGAATTATATGTTTTTATGCATTTTTGTTCTTCGTTAGGTTGTTTCTTCTTTTGAAGCACATAGACCTATGTTTTTCTTCTTTTCTCCTTCAACTTCCTGTACATCCTGTACAACTTCCTGTACATCCTGTAGCTCCCAGCTCTGATATCTTGCAATCTGTAAAGCTTTCCATGAGTCCATCTTTTCCTTCTTTGGCATCCACCTAATGTCAGACTTCTTCCCTTTTCTGTCTTTGTGTTCCTTTAATATTTAGTCTGGCATGTTCATCACAACACTCACCTAAATCTGATGTGTATTACCGCTTTCAAGAGATTGTGAATGAATTAAACAATAACATAGCGTAAATATTTGTTGGATATAACATAACATAACAAACATTTGGTGAATGGATATATTTGGTTGATGCATGCTCCTAACTTTGTAGTTTGCTGGGAGCCTCAACAAGGAGGGCATAAAGTTTATAGTCAAGTTTATATTCTTTATCTTGTTCCCTTACTCAGAGACTTATTACTTCCTTTTCATTCACACTACTTTCATTTCCTCAATATCAATTATTGAGGAAAGTGAATGTTTTTTCTCCTTGTCCAAAAGGTGGAGACTCTGGGTTATATTAAGAAATGCTGGAGAAATCAATGATACCCAGATAGAAAGGTAATGATGAGTAAAATTTAACGTGTCATTTTTAGATGATCCAATATCATATGCAGTCTCGAGATATTTAATGTGCTCTAAATTCAGGAATTGATGTTATTGCTTGCTCTGTGATTGAGTTCATAATTTGAGTACTTCAGATGTGGGGTTCTGGAAAGTTTAGAGTTCTCTATGTAGTATATTCTGGTGCCTGTCTAGTGTTATGTGTTACTCTAAGTTTCACTGGCTGTCCTATCTTTTAACTCCTGTTAAAGAGGTTGAATCAGTGGAAGAGAAAAACATGTCAGAGTCATCTAGCTGAATCTTGGATTTGATCTACAAGATTATTAACACAGTATTCAGTAGGTTGGAAGAGACACAATTGTAATAGCAACAGTGAAGACATACTAACATAATTTGCGTGAACTCTTTCAGTTCTGGTTTTCTAGCACTTCAATGTTTAGATACAAAGTAAAAGAAGACTGAATTTTCACAGAGGATGGGGTTCCTTGTGATCAAAAATATTTACTTGGTGCCAATAGATTTTTTTTTTAACTTTTACATTTTGATAGATAGTTTGAAATAAGGCAAATTGTAATCCATTAGGAACTTCTGTTAGCTTGTTTGGATCTTTGACATTCATCATATAAAACACTATTGTTTTGATCATAGTGCTAAAGATTGTAGACTAATTGATTTTTCAAAGCTTCATGGATTGGGTTGCAGTTTCTTACTGATGAGTTAATGGGGTGTTCGAAAAATGTATTCAGGTTGCAACCAAAGTGATTTAGTTTCTGTAGTTCCACCTAATTAATTTATATTCCTCTCTACTTTTTCATGTCTCTTAAACTCCTATGAGTTTATGTTTTATTTTCTTCCATCTTTCTCCTCTTTCCCCCCTTTTCCTATTATTACTTTTCTCCTTTCTCTTTTAATTTTCTCAGTTTTATGCTTATTAGAATTGTTGATTTTTTTCTTTATCTGACCATAATATTTAAAAATTATCTAATGGAAATATAATTAATGAAAATAATATTATTTTAAATAGTAAGTATAATGTTTTAATCTTGACAATTCATCTATTGCCTTTTCTATATATAACTTTCTTGTTCATATTCCTTTATTTTTTCCTTCAGTTGATTAGTGGCCTTTGAGGGGGAGGTTTAAAATGTCTCTCTAAAGAGCTATCAAATTAAAACCCTCATAAGATAGTATTTCTAGTTCTTCATCCTTAAAGTCTGACTTTCAGTTTTGCTTTGAATTCATAATTGTCTTTGAGGAGAAAATGAGAAGGGGAGACTTACACCTTTGCTTTTAGGAAATGAAACTTTGTTTTAATGACATCTCGTGATTCTTTGTACCCTAGTATGTCTTTCCTATAGTTATGTCTCTTTTGCATGTAATAGTCTCAGTGTTTTGTAGAATATAGATGGGAAGCATAAATTACTTAGAACAATTTTTCTCTCCCTTTGAAATAACAGCTTGTTTTCTAGTTTAGGTCATATTCGTGGTCATTATTCAAGTCTTGGTCTTTATTTTCTCTCTTGCATTGCAAAAGAAAATTAAAACCACTTTCCTCCAGAGGTTTACCAGTGTGATCAGGTGTTTTTAATAATATGCAAAGACTTGAGGAAGTTTTGAGACTTAAAAATAACAATATAGCATTGCCTTTTACAGTTGGAGGAGGCCTTAGAGATCATCTAGGTTAGGAAACATAAGTGTTAATCAACCAGTGGGAAAGTGATAGCTCCCCTGTTTCACGGGATATAAACAGAACATAATTTTGGAAAAGTCCAAACTGGGTGTTTTGAGTCTTTTGTGAGTATTTAAGAAATGCAAACCCAACTGACCTTAATTAGACTTCTGCTTTAATGGAATTACTCCTATTCAATGTATGGATTTAAAGGATATGGTTAGTAAATGAATGGTATATTATTGTCATAGAATCAATTAGAATTTCACATAGGATATCAAAAGATTTAACAAAATTATTTTCATATGCTGTTTTATATGCTATTGAATTAGCTCTTAAAGTTTTTTGATTAAAATTGAACTATTAATTTCAAAAATCTATGAATTTAATAATGATTTAATCAACTACTAAATAAAATTATATTTCTAGTTTAACCCACTTAGTGATCACACCTATTAAAGTCCATCAGAGGCTCAGCAGATCCAGTTGGGTCTTTTAGTCATTACCGTGAGTTTTCATATTTGCTTCTCTTGAAGCAGGGGAGCTATCATTTTTAAATTGGTATTATTAGGACTTGCTTTGTGGTTTCTTCAATGAAATTTTTTTAAGTCCATCATTTCTTGAGGTTTGTTTTTCTGCCACTCAGTAATATTTAGTTGCAGCTCTAGGAGAGACCATATATTGAAAAGGGAATTCTAGTTCTCATGAGGTTTTACTCAAAGAATGTTTTATTCTCTAAAGAACTTGTGATTGAAAATGGTCAAGTGTATATTTTTTCCCTATACTTTAGGGGTTTGACTGATTATATAATAATAGTGATTGCTAGCATTAGATGGGATTTTGGAAAGTGCTTTGATTGCTCTGCCTTGTGGTAAAGTTAATGTTTTTTGATAATATTTTTGCTTCAATGATCTATTAGGTTTGTTCTAGAAGAACATGTTTCTGATTTTGTAGGATGCATTCAAAACTAATGGGCTAATAAGGACCCTATTCTGAATTTTTACAGAAAAATATTGGTTCTTGTTTTTTGCTCAGAAAAGAGGTGGCTTTTATATATGATCATTCATTTTGCTACTGTACACATCACTTTCTGTCTTTCATAGTGATCCTTAAAAATTTAATGCTATTAAATACTATTCATTGAATGTGTGCGTGTTTGTATTGCTTGAATTTATATGTTCATTATATGGCTGGCCTCCTGTAACTATAATGTGGGCATAAATCTTTTTCATTAAGCTTGTTGAAGTTTATTCTTCTATAACTTAGTAATATTTGAAAAATCAAATATCATTTGTGACTTGGGAAAAACTAAAATGGGTGTGTGTGTGTGAGAGAGCAAGAGAGCGAGAGAGAGAGCGAGCGAGCGAGAGAGAGAGAGAGAGAGAGAGAGAGAGAGAAAGCAGAGAGAGAGTGGGGGCGCTGAAGGTCTGTATTCAGATTGGAAGGTAGCATCTAAGGGAAAATAAACTAATTAAAAAACTACATAGAGGAGGGTGACATTTCATCATAGGATAAAAGCAGTTGGGATCATGGAATGCTCAAATCCATGGAAGCAACATTGACAAGCAAGGTGGGATGAAATAGTAAACTGCTTTATGAGGAAGTAAGAGATATCATCATCAAAGGAAAAACTAAAGATACTGATCATGAAAGCTAACCAGAACAATCTCTCCTTAAGTCCTTATAAGTGCACTGGGTATGTAAGAATGACATTGATAAAAAGGTGAACTATGGAGTCAGTTTGTGATGCTGACTATAGCTTCTGATGCTCTCCTGTTTTTACTCAGAATACCTTTGCAATAGATTAAAATGTATTTAAATTAAAAAATTAAAAGCTTACTTGAGTTAAAAATGTTCAGAAATTGCAGGAATTATGTGCCATTGTTACAAAGGTTCAACCTGTATTTAAAATATTAATTTGTCTTTTCAATTATCAATTAAAAATATTTAGTATATCTCTTAATAAATTATTTTTCATATTTAATTTTTCTTTTTAAAAAAGGTATTTTTTTTTATTGTGGCAAAAACTCTACGTGATTCAGAGGCATAGGATCACACCTCTCAGATCCATGTGACCATGACACACCCACCACCAAGATACCCACAGTCTATTCC